GATAGGGAAGTATGCTAAGACGAAGTCTCCCGGCTTAAATTTTCTTACTTTGCTGGTCTGGTCGTAATGAGTCTTCATCCTCTCCTGGGCTTTCAATAGATTATTATGGGCAAAACGGTGGACTCTCTCTAGAATGTGTTGAAGGTTTTGAAGAAACTGGGGCACATTCTGATGCTCACTGAAGGTGGCATCTCGGAGAGAGTCTTTGAAAGCCTTAAGGGGAGTACGGCACTTACGGCCGTAGAGCATCTCATAAGGAGATACTCCTAGGGACTCATTGGGAAGACTTCTGTAAATACACATTATAAGGTCGATTTGCTTATCCCAATCCTTAGAGGTTTCACTACAAAACTTTTTCAAGAGTGCTTTGATAGTCTGATGACCACGTTCAAGAGAACCCTGTGAAGCAGGATGATAGGGGCTGGACAATACCTGTTTGATGTTGAACTCCTCCAGTGTCCTTTTGAAGAGATCACTGGTGAAGTTGGTACCACAGTCGCTCTGAATCTCCCTGGGAAATCCGTATTGAGTGAAGATCTTCAATAGATGTTTTACAACCGTAGCAGCCGTGATGTTCTTCACTGGAACTGCTATGGGAAATCTGGTGGTAGGACACAGGATGGTTAAGATATAGGCGTTACCTGAACTGGTCCGAGGTAAAGGACCAACACAGTCTATTATGAGTCTGTGGAAAGGTTCCGCAGGCACCTGTATGGGAATCAGTGGCGCTCTGGGAATGGAGATGTTCGGTTTGTCTGCCATCTGACATGTATGACACTGTTTTACGTACTGTTTGACGCTATTTACCATACCTGGCCAGTAGTAGTCTTGACGAATTCCATGGTAAGTCTTGTTGAAGCCGTAGTGGGAGAGTGCTCCGTGGGCCAGGTGTAGAATAGTGGGCTGCAGGCTGGTAGGAATCACAAGTTGTTCGATGTTTGCCCAATCGTCCTCCTCCTTCAGTTTACTGGGTCTATATCTGCGGTAGAGCAAGTCGTTCTCTAGGAAGAACACAGGAATACTGTCGGGTTGAGTCTCAGCCTGGAAAAACAATGGTGTTAAAGTAAGATCTTCCCTCTGCAACTTACGGAACTCCAACTTGGTCAGATTCGGGGGTAGTTTCTGAGGGTCTTGAGGGACAGCGGTAGCAGTAGAGTCAGCTGGCTGTGGACGTGCGGCTTGTGCACGGGTGGTCACGAGAACCGGAGGAGAAACTTCATCACTCTCTTGTACCTCTGCTGGAACATACGCTAGAATAGGGTTACTTGGCACAGAGTTACACACCTGGGGTTTGTCCATGACGATCAGGTTGGTCGGTTGCAGGTCTTCTGCCAAGTCGTTGCCTAGGAGAAGTTGCACTCCAGGCATGGGAAAAGGCTTTTCCCTGACGGCGACTTGGACTTCTCCGTTCACGTAGGGACAATCCAGGTGGACTCTGGCGAGAGGGTATGGAGTGGTAGCAGTGAGGTCAGTGATGAAGACAGTTTCTCCGGTGTAGACGATGTTGGGCACAGCTGACTTCAAGATGATCGATTGAAGAGCCGCTGTGTCCCTCAAGATCTTCAATTTGAAACGTTTCTCCGGATTTGAACCGTTGGCAGAGACAGTTCCAGTATACAGGTGGTTACTGAAAAGAGAAAGATCATTAACATTAACACCAACATTCATCACAGGCTTACCGGACTTAGGAGGAGTTGGTTTGGGTTTCTGTGGGTCAGTGGTTCCCTTGTATTGAGACTTACCACACTTGTCTATGGTATGTCCATAGAGTCTACAATACTTGCAGTACAATTGCGAGCCAGCTTGATCGGTGCTCACTTTCTCGTAACTGTACCACGACTTCTTACTGGAGGATGGTTCGGGTGTCAGCCGGTGGATGAGGCTGTAAGTGTCAGCCGACTTAGCACACTTCAGGTAGTCAGTTTCTTCTTTATCTGCTAAGTAGAGACGGACAGGAGGCGGCACACGCCTCAAGAATTCTTCAACTAGCATCACGTTGACGAGTTCTGTAAAAGTAGAGACATGTGCTGCTTCCAGCCATTTCATGAAATATCTCCGTTTTGTGTTAGCAAACTCGAGGAAGGTAGTGGTACGTGCCTTCAGGTGGTCACGGAATTTCCTTCTATAACTTTCTGTGGAGAGGAGGTAGGCGTCCAACACTGCTTGTTTCAGAGTCTGGTAGTCATTCTCAGACGCCCAAGTACTGAGTGTGACTGCAGCTCTACCTGTAAGATGGACTCTGAGAAGTGTGGCCCATTGGTTGACAGGCCAACTGAGTTGATTAGCAAGGGTTTCAAAGGTGGTGAAAAACACATCAACTTCTGCTTCTACAAAGGATGGCATTAACTTACTTGCATGCGATATATTAAAACTGACGGGAAGATTGGCAGTAGCTTGCTGGCGTTGAGCGAGGTGTGAAGTTTCCAACGTGTATTCTCGTTGACGACACTCTAGAGCCAGAGTCGCTTGTTGCTTGTCATGTTCACGTTGCATCTCCAACTCGCGTCGTTTTGTTTCAAGCTGTACGCGTTCCCGCTCCTGGAGTGTTTCAAGCTGTACGCGTTCCCGCTCCTGGAGCATTGCAACCTCACGTTCCTGGAGGGCGATTTCACGTTCGTGTTCTTCCTTCCTCAAGGCAGCCTCACGTTCTTGTTCTTCCCTTCGTATGGCAGCTGCTTCTTTTTGCTGCTCACGTTCAATCTTGGCCAGCTCTAGTTTGAGTTTCATCGTTGCCAAGTCAGTTTTATCTGCAATATAGTAAGTTTCATGAGTTTCAGAGTCTATCTTACCTTGCTCTAAGAAATGATCCAGCAACAGGTTGTGTAGGTCATTTTTGTTGGCTTGGTAGGGAACTTCTAGTTGATACTCATGTGCAAGAGTTTGTAATTCAGTTCTCTTGGCACGACTTAAAGTCCCTATTTCACCTGCTGGATCTGCACGGAAAGCTTGGAGACGAAACATGGTGAAGTTAGCAAAATAAATGTACAACGAATATACCGTTATAGTGAATGTCAGAAACAGGACAACGTGGCAACTGGTACCTATCCTGTGGTATCTTTAACAATTAAAGTTAAGTACAAGATGTTAAATGATTAATTTAAATCAAAGGCGCAGGAAATCTTGTACCCGGTACTCATGTAAGAGGATAAGGGCAAGAAAGTCCTACTAACAAATGAAACAGTTTTGAAAACAAATGAAACAGTTAATTGCCTCAAAAGTAAAATTGGTAGTCCAAGGATGTAGGCATACCTTGCCGAGTCTCTATAGGACATAAAGCAAGTTTTTCCTACCGAAATTAATATGATACTTACAGAATTAGCGAACTTTTGTGCTCTGAAAAAGTAAGCTAATTCCCTACCGTTGTATGTATCATCATCTCTGACTGACGTGTAGGGGTGCGAGGTGTCAACTGGTGACGAGAACTGCTGCTGAGGTCCCAATTCAGCAACTAAAGTTCGAGCTAGAGGAACTATGGCCCTCTTTGTCCTCCTACAGTCAGATTGCAGAAGATTGGGTGCTCTTGACCCGGGGCAGACCACAGTACCAGGGTACCAATATGATGATCTGTCAAAAATGAGAAATATCCAAGGGACAAAGATGGTAAACACGAGTAATAACACGGAGGGAGAGATGACCAATTAAGAGTATGACTGAGGCCTACAGTCACCACGTAATCCAAAGTTGTCTCACCTTCACCATATGTTACTCTCGTAATGCACAATACACCGCACCATATAAAAAATGAAATTGAATATGAAAAATAGTAAAAGCTACGTTAACAAAGTTAAATACGCTTACCATTAATTACCATTTGGCACCAGTACCTGAGTGAAGCTCCTAGGACAGGCCCCCATATAATATGTGATGGTAACGCGTTGGTGTTCGGCTGTTCAAAGCTAGGAGTATGGCCTCGTCACATACAGAAAAAAAAAAAATAGAAATTCTGGAACTTCGTCTGTGGTAAGGTAAGGAAAAGACACACAAAACACAAGTAAATTTTAACAATGAAATTTTAATTACGTTAAAGAAAGCAAAACATGAATAAAATGGACATACAAATTCGTATAATAAAATCAATCAAAATAATAAGAATAATCAAATGGCAAAATGAAAAGTTACGTTAAGACAAGTGAACAAATAACAAGTGTATGGCAAACAAAGTAAATAGGTGCAGGAATATTGGCTTCAAGCTATCACTTCTCTTAGTACACGTAAGCCTGGGGCTTAGTCTACCAACGAGACGTGTTAACTTGTCGAAAGCACGGGATATTCTGAAGACTGAGGTCGTGGCGGCCCCAGACATCAAGTAGTATGGTGGGTAGAGTGCAGTTGCAGCTGGACCTGCAGCCAATCAGCGACGAGCAGGCGACAAGGCAGGTAGTTTGGCGGTTTGAGGTGGAGCAGGTGTTCCTGGCTGCATACGTTTTGCGCTCTGGCAAACCTTGCTGGTGTTGTCGTTGAATTTTTCTTCCATAGTAGTTTTATATAGATGTGTAGCGACGTATTTGGAGGGAAGAGCAGGCTCAATCTCTTGAAGGAGATTATCGTCACAATATATATATATATATATATATATATATATATATATATATATATATATATATATATATATATATATATATATATGTAATATCTATATCTATCTATCTATCTCCTCCCCCGATTTACTTGGCGCAAATTATACTTTTATAAAGGGTTCAGGATACTGGGGTTCGTATCCTGAACCCTTTGTCATGGGTTCAGGATACAAACCCATGACAAAGCGCTCGCAGAACGCCAGGCTTACCACTACACCACGGAGACTGGTGACTTAGACTGGAGACTTAAAAAGATTTGTGTGCTGAAATTGTTGAAAATAAATTCAATTGAATTTATTCTTACCCAGATATAAGCAAGATACCATTGCAAATATTTTTCCTCTAAGACCTTTGTAATAAAGTATATCCAATTAATTAATAAAGTTTACTGTATAATTTATTTTCTGTAATTGTATGTTGCAGAGCTGAACGCACAGTGAAGAAACCAGCTGCTCCGTGGGTTCCAACCATTTCTAACTCTTCTCATCTTGATGCAGTGCCTCAAGCAACTCCAATTAATAGAAATCGTATTATATCGAAGAAGATTCGGACCTTTCCCATGTGGTAAGTTCACAGCCTTGTCACTATATAAAATATATTATTAATTAAGTCGAAATAGCTGTTTTTGTGCACAGTCCTTCGATGTCCTAAATCTTAAACCTTACTGATTAACCCTTAAAGTGCGCAATACATTTATAGTTGGGGAGAGTAACTATTGTGAGACGGCACACCCAGCTATGTATGGTTGGGAGTACCACGTAAGATTTAAAAGTCCTGCTGCTACACAGGGTTCACATCGACTTCCTCAGGTATCTTGTAAACAGACGCCATTTAAAAAAAAAAAACCTTGGGCAACATTCCCAGGTGCGAGAGCCTTGGTATCGAGTGAGCAACCAAGGCTGGTGCACACAGCATGAGCACGGCTGGTGCACTGAACAGCACTGCTGTTCAGCTTGTGACCACAGCATCCCCTAAAAATATCAAAATATGTGTGTAACTGGTATTATTTAGCCATGATAGTATTACAGGGAAGCCTGATTGTGAGAAAGACTGTGTACAATGTTCAGATATCAGTAAACAAAATGCTGTTTAACCACTGTTGCGCCAACCGAGAATACTCGGTCAGTGGGAAACTGCGCCAACTGAGAAAACACCTTTTGAATATTTCGTACCCATTCAAAACACGTGGGCGGTAGGTTACCGAGTGAGCAACCTATCGTTGAAATTCAGACCTTATTATTTGAAGAACATAAGGGTCATGAAATTGATTTAGCTAGGCGCAATAAGGACCTAACACAAAGTGAATAATTTTCTGGGTTCAGTGATGATGCATCTGATACAAGTAGCTTAGATAAACAGTGTTAGCAGCTTCCATGGTGGTGTTTATCATAAATATTTTCAAGAATAGCTGAATCTCTGCCAGAATGGCTAAATCTCTTCCAGAATGACTGAATCTCTTCCAGTGTGGGACCTTACAAAACGATCTTTTCAAGACTACCTTAAAATTGATCTTTTCCGATAATCTTTTCAAGACTACCTTAGGCTTCACAAGCTTGGCTACATACAACCTACAAGTATTAAAGCCAAGGGTGTACGTGAATGCGTTATTTGCAAGCACACAGAACGAAGAAACAGGAAGTGAAAAGCTATCCTGTACCTGGTGCACCGAGAGCGAAGTTGTGCTGTGTACCATGGACTGCTTCGTTGATTATCTCTCACTTCCGAAGTACTGAGTGTGTGATACAGTGTGTTAATGTGTAAATAGTGTGTGAAACTGTACATATTATAATTTTAGTGAATTTTTAACAAGTAATATTGCGACAATAAACATTTATTGTGGGTACATTACTGACACATGTATCACAGCTCCTTGTAGCATTATGAACGTTCTACTATATACATATTGTAAAGGACACAAATATGCATTAAATATGATGACAAAAAAATAAAACTGCATTGTAAATACATAGAACAAATTATTGAAAATATATTTGTGGCAACTCACGGTTCTTGAATGGCCTGCCTCGGGGAGCTTCATGCACGGGTTTCTGGGGGGAGCCCCTACAGCTCCCCGGAGCTTATCAGGCTGATATGCTAATGTCAGACTTTGGCATCAGTCATGTATACGAAGTTCTTATGGGTGTACCGGGGACCACGAGCCAGAACCTGGCCCCCTCAGAGAGGCAAAGGGAGCAATGGCCTATAGAAACCCCCGTGTGGTTGGAAGCATTCTATGTCTTCCATCGACCGGGTTAGGCACCCAGAAAGGTAGGCGTCCCAAAACAAACCCCTATTCTGGTGAAAATTGCAACCAAAAACCGAACGAGTGGATAGAACTCCCCAAACAAAAACGAGTAAGCTAGTATGACGTCACCCGTCATCGCGCCGCTGTCTGCGCAGCTCCCCCCTCCCCGGGAGGGGGAAGGGGTAGCCCTAGACCTACCACGCCAGCGATCCACACCCCAGTTCTTCGGCTGATGCTATTGGCACCGGTTGTGTGCTCGGGCTCCAGTGGTTGTTTAAGCACTGTACCTAGAGTGTGGTGTCTGTCTTCTAGGTGGTGCGTGAGCCAGGAGTGAGTCTCCAGTACTCGAGCTGCATGCGCCTGGAATTACCTTCTCTAGGTGCCCTGTAAGTACTGCCCTTGGGGCTTGTGGTTACCTTCCACAAGTTCCTTGGGTCCTGCTTCTGCTAGGCCGTTTGCTGCTCGGTTTTCGGCCGCCCTTTGTGTGATGGGGGGTTCTGTCTCCCTTGTTCGCCTTAGGGTAAGGGGCAGTTTGCACTAGTAGGGGCGCAGGGTACTGAGCAGCTTGTTTTCACCAATCATGGCGGCCGGCTCTGTTCCGCCTGGGTATGCTGTACTCTTGCGGGGTTTTCTTTTTCTTTTTGTTTGTCTACCTGGTGGGGGCTCTGCCTTTGATTTTTTCCCCCTTTGTGCCGAGTTCTCTTCCTTCTTCCGGTGGTTCCCCCTGCTAGGTCCACGTGAGTGTACACGTCCCGGGGTTCAGCTCTTAGTGTGTTGTTTGGTAGCCATGGGCGCCGGTTAGCAGTACCCTGCCTGGGATTACCTGAGCGCGAGTCCTTTTATAGTAAACGTTCGGGACCCTGGGAAACCCCTAGGGGGAGCGTGGGCCCGATAGATGTGGCCCCGGAGTCCCCCCCTCGCTTTGTGCGAGTTCGAGGGTTGCTCTGTCCCCTTGTCTCAGGGTGACTCACGGTTTTGCCTCTGTCTGCAGCCTGTGGGGTCGGTGACACCTTTGGCCCGGAGTCCTGCAAGTTTTGTTGCTTCTTTGTGACTCGGTTACCCAGTCTTATGCTGACTATGTGAGTGCAGGCTGCACGGGCGTTGCACATTGTGTTTCAGTGGCAACGCGCTAGTTGTTTGCTCCCCGGAAACCCCGAGGCTGCCCCGTTTTCGTTGGTGGTCTTGTCGGGTCCCTCCCCCCCCCTCCTTCCTCCATACATCCAGGTCTTTACCGTCTGTGGGTTCGGGGTCGGGGCGGGGCTTCCATGGTTTTGAGACTTGGTTTGTCTCGGGGACTTCCCCTTCCGGGGTAGCGACGGGGGCATTCAAGCCTGTTTCCCCCAACCGTGTTGTAAGAGTCTGCCAGTGGGCTCCCTTCCTTAGTGCTTTTCACGGCTGCCCCGGTTTTTCTTGAGGCTGGGGCTTTGGGAGGGCAGCTCGGCCCCGGGGCCTGCCGGGTAGGTTCCCGGGGCAGGGGTGGGGCTGACGTGGGGCTCCTCAGGTCCCGTTGGTCCATGCCGGGGTTTTCTACCCCTCTGGGTGGGGCTTGCGGTTTTGTGGAATGGAGTTTTTCCTTCCCCCTCTCTCCACACGAGTATTTGGACGTCGGCCCCTCCCCGGGCTCGGTTCCTTATCCATTATGCCCATTGCTTCCGTCCTGTCGGTGGGTGCTTTTCTCCGTTCTTCGCCCCTTTTTTCTGGGACGGGACTTCTCTGTCATGTCCCCCTCTTCTTTGGGTTCTGCATGACTTTTGGTCTCGGGTGCAACTGGGTTTTTCTGTGCCTTCGTCCTTTGCTTCTATGTGTTCTCGAAGGTTTGGGACGGTTTTGCTCCTTCCCGTTTTACTGGTATGTCTATCGTCGTTCGGTGGGGCTTCCCTCCGGTCCTTTCTAGGGCTTGTGGGTCCTATTCCGGGCAGCTTCTGGGGTTTTTGGCCTTCTCGTTCATTTGATCATATCTCTTCTCTCTGTGCTGTGTCTCGGCACTGCTTGTTTTCCTTGCGTTCTGGTTTGGGATGCCGGATTGGGCTACTTGTAGCCGGATTGGGCTGCTTGTAGCCGGATTGGGCTACTTGTAGCTGGATTGGGCTGCTTGTAGCCGGATTGGGCTGCTTGTAGCCGGATTGGGCTGCTTGTAGCCGGATTGGGCTGCTTGTAGCCGGTTGGACTACATGTCGCCATGTTGGGCTACTGGTGGTCCACTTGGGTTCCGTTTCGGTTCGTTGTTTTCCTTACATGGGCCGGCTAAATTGGCTTCTGTTTCCATGATTTGGCCTGTTTCTTCAACGGATCGCTTGGGATACGACCCGTTGAGCTACTTTTCTGCTCTGTTGTTGGACGGAGTAGGATGGTACTGTGTAGGCCAACCTGTTGGGCTACTTTTTCTTTTGTGTCCTGCGCATGCGCCGTGGGAGTTTGTTTTGGTTCAGGGCGGTGTGCACATGTGCTGGTGTTCTGTGTCCATTTTCTCTCGGGGGCTTCGCCTCTCGCTCTTATCATTCTCCAGTCCGTGCCCCGTTGCTCTTGGGGGTGTTCTGGAGTGCCGCTGTGGGGAGGTCACGGGGTCTTTCCCTGTGCTTTTGGGTGGGGAAGCCTCCTTCGCCGCTCCCCTCCTCTTCTCCGGCATGAGCAGCTCTGGCCTGCCTTCCGCGGGCGGTGCTCCCGGCTACGGGTGCATGCACAATTCCCTGGCCGCCTCTGGCAGCTCCATTCTCATAGGCTTGCGTCATGGCCCTTCAGTGCCTATGTTCTGCAGGTGAGTTGGTGCGGTCTGGCGTCTCCTTCGTCCTGATGCTGTTTTTGTTTTTTGGGAGTAGGAATGGGTGTACATTCGTACTTGAGAACGTAGACCATAAAAACTGAGGTGCCTGCTACAGGGCTATTGGCCCATACGTGGCAGCTCTTGTTCTCACCACGCGATTCCTTCCTCGGATCACAGGTGACTGCAGAAGATCTTATGGCCCATACGAGGCGGCTCCTGCCTGTACTCATCCTGCCCCTCTCCTATGCTTGTCCAACCATGCTTGAGTTCGGGGCCCCGCCTCCACCTTGTTCCATGGTGCAACGGTGAAGGTGCCTGTTCGGTGGTACGTTTTCCTGTGTCGAGGGTGTTATGTGCTTGCCTCGTGCTCGCCTAATTGTGCTTGTGGAGTTGGGCTCTGGCTCTTTGGTTCCGCCCCTCACCTGTCATTCGCCTGACGTGCGGTTCTGTGCCTCCTGGGCTCTCTCGTCTCCTCACTTGGAGCTGTGTATGGAGTCAGCCCAGGTGTGGGCTGCCTAATGTGTTCCATCAGTTGCCTGTTACACTGCACACGTTTCT